GCTACAGTCCACATTATAGACTGCCAGTACACGCAGTCAGCTTCATAAGCAGGCTAGAGTGTACATGATAGAGTGGCAGTACGCTCACCGAGCTTAATAAGCAGGCTACAGTGTACATGATAGACTGGCAGTACGCTCACCCAGCTTAATGAGTATTTGTACAGTGAACATGAAAGTAATCGATTGTTGGCGCGTTGGGTTTAAAAGTAATATTAATAGCACACATTGTGGTGGGGGTGTAGTGAAGAGTAGGAAAAACTTTGATGAATTTACCTCAGAGTGGCGTGGTGGGTGTCGAGGCCTAGTAGCGTGCAAAGCCTGCGGCCTCGCCTAAAATTGTCGGCTTGGAAGAGGCAGGGTACGGGTGGCGTTCCTTCCCCCCCCCCTCAGCGCTCCAACAACACTGTGTAATGGCTATTATTTAATTAAATACGGAGCTTATGAAAGTGGCGAAGGCGTGGCTAGCCGTTGGCAGGGGCAACCGCCGTCCAATGAAACTGCAGCCCTTGGCGAAGGCGTCGCTAGCCGTTGCCAGGTCCAATGAAAGCGGCGAAGGCGTGGCTAGCCGTTGCCAGGGGCAACCGCCGTCCAATGAAAGTGCGTATGGGCCGAAATACACACACACACACACAGACAGACAGACATGAACGATTTTATATATATAGATTCAAGCCCTAGCTCTAGGGTTCTCTTTCTCTCAGGGGGCTCAAAATGCCTCTGTCAAAGACAAAGTCAGCGCCGATGAGATCCTTGTTTGGTACTCGGTATATATGTATGTTGCACTTCTTTCCCACCTTACAAAGCCAAAAGTGCTAAATCAGAAGTGCAAGGGAAAGACAAAAACTAAACACAAAAAGCAATCTAGACGCAATAGTGCGTAGTTCCAATGGCTTCCTAATATCGGAAGGAAGAGCGTTCCAGACGGCCGCTGAAGTGCGTCTGAAAGTGTGCGATGCAGTGCCCGTCTTTGGTCAATGGCGAGTTTTAGCCAGCTTTAATCACACTCCTGCGGAGGGAGCTGGTAGGAACGTTGAGTTGCTCGGTCAATGGCCAGGGTCAACGGCGGCGTGGTGTATTCCGCAAATATGCCAGACTGAGGGCGGGCACAAGCCGGCGTGAGTAGGTTAAACGTTGAGTTTTATAAGGGCACCACGGGGTGAGCAGCCCCTTCGCACCCAGCCCCACCACTCCCACCCTCCCCACCCAGCCCCTCCCCACCCAGCCCCTCCCCACCCAGCCCCTCCCCACCATCCCCTCCCCACCCAGCCCCTCCCTGCACGACGGACACAATAATCACCTGTGGGCTGGTGTAACCAGGAGGTTCCTACCAGTATCAAGTCATGTTGTAGATGCTCTTCTAACTTCTCCATGGAATTTCCAGAAGCCATCAGGACTGTATCATCAGCATAAAGGTTAAAGTCAGTGCAGATTGGAGATGCCTAGATTGTTGACAGAGAAAACAGGATAGGGCCAAGCAAAGAACCCTGAGGAACTCCCTGAAGTAATGGGGATCCATTCAGAAGATGTATAATTGTTGGAAACAATTTGGAATCGGTTAGATGTGTAGTTGCCAAGTCAGTCGATTGCACAATTTGAAAAAAAATGGCATTTTAGTTTTCAGTGTCAAATGCAAGTCGCGGAATAGGATGGCGCAATAACGACGAAATTCAAGACCGTTGAAGATTAAGCCAAGAGTCTCGAGTAGTTACACCAGCCCACAGGGGATTATTGTGTCCGTCGTGCAGGGAGGGGATGGGTGGAGAGGGTGGGGCAGGGTGGGGGGTGGGAGGGGTTGGGCTGGGTGGGGAGGGGTTGGGCTGGGTGGGGAGGGGTTGGGCTGGGTGGGGAGGGGCTGGTCACCCCGTGGTGCCCTTATAAAACTCAACGTTTAACCTACTCACGCCGGCTTGTGCCCGCCCTCACAGTTCGGCATATTTGCGGAATACACCACGCCGCCGTTGACCCTGGCCATTGACCGAGCAACCCAACGTTCCTACCAGCTCCCTCCGCAGGAATGTGTTTTTATCGAAAGCCAGATTGCTCAGGATGGAATACGGCATATTCTCTGATATTAAGTTTGTGATTTTAAGATGTTCCCAAAGATCATGATGAGAGGGGAGAGGATTGAGATTGGGCAGTAATTCTTAGGGTCATCCGTTAACTCCACCGCTACGAGGGTACACGAGACCAGTTTTCCGTTCAAGAGGGATGGATGTCTCAAGAAGGTGAGAGCTAAATATGCGGGCTATCGGTTTTGCAATGAAGTTCCCCACAAGATGTAGGGCAAAAGCAGGCAGGCCATTGGAACCATCAGCAGAGGAAGGTTTTAGTGTGGAGAGCAAAGTTAAGACTGAACATTTAAAAAATGGTAGGAAATTAAAGTGCTGATTGGGGGGAGGGCGGATCAAATGGTGGGTGAATTGTGGTGTCACAAGGCTGGATATCTGCATTGAAGATGTGGCCTGCAGATGCAAAATGCGAGTTAAACCCATTTATATTGCCGTTTTATTATAAAGGCAAAAGCCTTGGCAGTACTCCTTCATATTCAAACGTTTTACAATAAATACTCTTTATGGAATTTCTGAAAAGTTTGGGAAAGTGAAGGTGTTAGTTTGCCAAACGAATTCGGTGCAGCCTTTTGTTTTAGAACGTTATAATTGGCCCAGTTTGAGTCCAAACCCGTTTGCTTAGATAATGCAATGTCACACTGCATGAGATACAATGATAACATCAATTATCAAGTGAATGTAAGCCAGAGCATCTGCCTCGGCAATAGCTTTTAGGGTCCAGAAGACTGCAGCAGGTGAAGTGAAAGGTCAGACAACATGCCAAAGACGCATTACAACCTGCTACTTTAGAAAGTATTGTTTTACTAAAACAACCATTTGAAGTGCTCCAACTGACTGTGGTGGGAACTCAACATTTCCGAGGCCGTGTCCAATTCCTTAAAAAAGAAAACCCATCCATTCACCACTCCTGACCAAGTGGCATCCACTGTACACCACAGCCAGACCAGTGATGAATAAACGTGATCAAATCACGTGGTGCCCTATTGACACTTCAACAAGTTAATCTTTATTTAAGTTGTATTTCAATACTGTCCATGCAGAAACGTAATGTTAAGTACTACTTCCATAACCATAACCCCTAAAATTAACCACAAACTAACCCTGACCCCCAAAACCCTATGCATAACCTTCAAACCCCAAACTTCACACCAAAACACCTCATCTCTAATCCTAACCTAAGTATTTAACCCGACAGGGAAAACTAAAATTAGGAGGCATCCCTTAGTTTCAATTGAAACCCAAGAAAGGTCTGCGACTGGCCAAAACGGGTAAGCACAAGCCTGACTTCTGATTAAACACTGAATGTCGAAATTGACCCATATCAATCAGAATATTTATTTATACTGAAGAAATCCGATGAGCTATGAAGCTATTTTTCGTAGATGTCCAGTAAGGGCGAGTAAGAACGTTACAACAGTACAATTTTTTTTTACAGTACTATAGTGCAAAGTACAAGGTAAATAAATCACCCAAACACATGCAAATAAACTAAATCATACCCATCCTACCAAGCAAAGCCCACTGAGGTATTCACTTATCTTTCAGAAGCGACCTGGCCACAAATGACAGCTCAACAAAGTGGCCCATCAAAACTCACAGAAAGCTAAGTGGCTTAAGGGATGTGTTAAAAAAAAAAGTTTCTTTTTTTTAATTGAAATTTTTTAAAATATGAGGAATATTTTGTGTAAGGGCTGTGGTAGTACAAAATCTGGTCTGATTGGATAAATCATTGGATAAATCTTCCGTGACAGTATTCACTTTCACGGCTTGGTCCAGGTCATACAATTAAATATCCACCTGTCACCCCGCCCCCCTCACTGCTGCCGACGCGACAGGTACATCTCCAGGCCTTCTGCCAATCCACTGCTGGATGAGAACTTCCCCCACGAAGTGTGGATAGTGAGCGTTATCTGACCATACTTCACAATGCTAGTCAGTCCGGGTTGAAGGCAGAGACCACAAGACACGGAAACTTATCCCAGTACAGCAATCGCTTTGTTGCACTGCAAAGTGTTGTTCCCAACGTAGCACACAGCCCCACCGCCACCAATGACAACCTGTTTGTGCTTCTCATTATAAGCACTAATCAGGCTCTAGCCTGCTTACATTTTTGAGATCTGACCAGACCGGGTGCATTTCGGGTTAAGTTCAGTGCATCAATTCATTTCAGATAAGGCCTATTTATCTAAAAACCTTTCTTACAATGATTTAGTCATAGGCTTCGTATGACACCCATTGCAAAATCAGACCCGCGTTATCAACAACTACCAAATTCAATCAGACGTTTCTCAACTTAATCATCGTCATCCCAAGTTCTATCTACGGTTGGGCGAAAGCCTTCCTCCCCATCACGGTATCGCAAAGGCAACGATCCCGTTTTTGTGTAAAATTCACTTGCAGCGAAACACTGCAAAACGTTACATTTCGAGTTAAAGCTTTCGTGACTGCAGGGATTCATCTTCTTGGTTCTTTTGGTAAAGTCACGTAGAAGGAAAATAATAAAAAATTACACATCAAAATACAATTCTCACGACGTTTTATTATTTCCCTTCTACGTGACTTTACCGAAAGAACCAAGCAAATCAATCACCGCAAAACGGTCAGCAGCTCCGGAATTAATCTCTCAAGCCACTGCTGGGGCAAGGGGGCCCTTCCCACTCTCGCGAGGACCACCCTCAACATTAAAACCATTTCCGCGGACCACCAAATGCAGTGTTTTTGTGGAGAATGTTTGATCTTAAAGAGTTCAGTGGGCGACTTCCCACGGCCTTGTGAACCACGGGGTTGGGCGAAACCGACTGCTGTACTTGGTCTACTTTTCCGGGTTGACCAGACGTCTTGGAAGCGTGCCAGACACTTCACTTCAATATATTTGCATTAGTTTAAAATGCGTTTCGTGTTTTATTTTATCTCAAGCGCTTGTCAACTGACCGCGACGGAGTCGAGTCCACGTCATCCTCAGCGTCGAAGAACTCCTCGTCAGCCGAGTCGCTGCCCGAGGCCATGGGGGGAGGCCGCTCAGGAAACACGTAAGGCTCCGCGGAGGCCTGCTGCGGCCTGCCCCGTCAAAGCGGGGGCTACCGTCACCTGTTGGCCCCGCAAGGCCGCAAAACCGAAGCAGCGGTCGCCCGGAGGCAGCGGCAATCGAACCTCTCCCGCGGCTTCACCCACGGCTGTCGCGGTTTGTAATTTAAACGCGAAGTTTGGAAATGTCTCGGTGCCGTCTCGGGCTTCGTCTGTGCGCTGATGTGTGGGTGAAGCGGGCTACGTCACGTGGCAGGCGTGGCCTGGTTGTGGTGACGTCACGAGGAATCGATTGCCTCCACTGACAGCCCTGGAATGAAATGCGTGGTGTAGGAGGAATCGATTTGACAAGTTCTAAGGGACTTGGGCACATGGCTCTTAAACCTTTACTGCATAGTTCGCAATCGTTACAATATGTATAATGTTAATACGTAGGTCTGATCATGTGTTTCAGGTGATTTACCTTCTTTAAAAAATCTGGCCACGTCTCGCTTACACCCCTCCGCCAGAAAGGGCACCCCAGGTTAAAATCCAATGGTCCAAGTAAATTTCTGCTCAAATGAAGCGGTGCTGATCTCTTATTTACAGTCCTGAGCCAGTGGTGGAAATGCCACGTTCGTGTGGCAGGGCGAGGACAACCACAGTTGACTTCACCACAAAGTGGTATATCAATTTTATCGACCTCGGGGGGGAGGGGTGGGATAATGAGCTGGGTCAACCTCAAAACAGGATTTGAACTCGCAACCTTCCAATTGCGAGCCACTCACTCTACTGGTAATCGGCCACGAGGCCAGACTAATATACAGTTACTCAATGGATACAAAATATCGACGGCAATTTGTAATCTGCAATCCCCAAAAATGCCATACGAGAAAAATTACTAAAGAGGGGAGCTCTGATGGTCTGCATATCTGAGACTTTCTATCGGCGAATGCATTAATAACATATTAATGTAGAACAACACAACCCTGTGTGTATATTATATAAGTGTAAAGCCATCCTTGAGTGTGTGTAGTGTATGTGGGTTTTGCCGAAGTTATCATCATCACTGCTAGTCGTGATCAATCAGGAGGTTGTGGGTTCGATCTCGATCCTGATGCCTGTATATTTGGAGTTTGCATGTCTCTCCCCGTGGTCGCGTGGTTTTTTTCTCCGTGTCCTCCGTTAATTCCCTCCACATTTAGAAATATGCGCTTAGAGTATTTGGGCTGTTATAAATTTCCACGTGATAAGCCACTTCGTTGAGCTATCATTTGTGGTCAGGTCGCTTCTGTAGGCCTTACTTAGTTTAATCCACTGCTGGAAGAATGTCACTCAGAGCAGTCAACAGCTGATCACAATCCCAGGCGTGTGCCAGCAGTAGCATGTCCACATTTTCATGGCAACGGTCACCACCCTGTAGGATGACCTGGCCGTGTAGATCATCAGCCAAATGTGAGCATGTGTCATCAAGCGCTGCTCTCTGGGCGGTACGGAGGCGAATCTCAAACCGACGACGAAGGAACAGCAACGTCACACAATTCTGCACATGTGGCATTGTTTGTTGTACAGGTCAAACGGTCGTGTACTCTGCTCCCTTAAACATCCATGGGGTTTTTTTGTTGCTGTTCAAATTGTAGATTGTAAGTTGGATGGTTTCGGGAGCATGGGTTGGGCCACAGGGGGAGGCAGGAACGAATGCTGAGCGCGAGTTGGGAAATTATTAACGCCGAAAAAACATTATTTCTGCACAAAACTATTTTTTTGACTTGTTGAGAGCCACCAGCGACGAGACATCTCAAAATGAACATTAAAGCCATCTTATCGCTGTGTCTGTTTCTCATTCTTCAATGTGTTCGTGCCAGAGGTGAGTGTCCAAGCAATCGTTTGATTTGCCGATACACTTTAAATGGCTTTTGGTGGTTCAACGTGGCCGAGCCAAAGGCTGAGCTCCTGGGCTTGAGTTCTGTCCTGAGTGCTGGATACGGCAGTCACATTTGCTAATGTGATTTAGAACGTTAATCATCACCTGTGTATCGATAGTTCACTGTTAATCTGGCATGTTATTGAGAGACTACTGCTGTGTTGTCTTGGTGCTGTCTGGAGCTGTTTTGTTGTTTTGCTGCCTTGCCCAAGTGGGATAAATCGGACTTATATAATTTCGTTATTTTATTATTTACATTTAGTTACTTGCTTACCATGATCTCAATTTTGCACTCATATCGCGTTTTTCTATTGTTTGATGTTGTAACTTACTAACCCGCCCGTACTGGACATCTGTGAACAAGAGTTTCATAGCTTATCGAATTCTTCCAGTCTAAATATTTTGATTCTGATGTGCGTGCGTCTCACGGGGGCTTATAAGGGCCGGGTCAGAGACACTTGTGCAACATCGTCCAGAGCCTGGGTTTAAACCCTGGGGCTTAATGTATCTCTTTATTTACCAGGGGATTCATAATGGCCAGGTCAGAGAGACTGCGCCATCGCTGCGACGTTGTTGAACCAGGTCCTCAAAGTGAGAGCTTTGAAGATGGAAGCTTCATCGTGTTTTGGCACCACGAGCCCGATGGTGGCCTGACAATGTAACAGAGCAGCCACTGTGATTCTTGATTCATGTTCGGGTTAGGCTACATCGTCGGGTCTGAGCCAAGCCTCTTCAGATCATAACCTAGAACTTCACGGTGCTTGAAGCAGTTTCAAGCAAAGCGATCCAATACAATCACTAAATGCGGTCGTGAGAATAGTTCGACTCATGACGAGCGAGCTGAAACGACATCAACGCTTTGTCAAAACCCTTGCGCAAGCTGCCCGTTAAATTTGAAGGGTTTCGCGACATGGATTCGGCCGGATAATTACGTGGGCCTAAACCAGATAATCTAATGTGGATCCCAGTACATTACTGGCTTAAAAAGCCCTACGTGGTGGCGTGGGGCCCAGTGCCGGATTATCCGAGTAGCACAAGTAGCTACAGATGCTACGGGCCCCGCACGTTCAAGGAACCCTCGCTGAACCCTTTCAATCTATCAATTCCGGTTCAGTGATTCTGCACTTGCTCTATTACTATAGTACTATACTGCCTTCAACTTTTATGAACGACTGGGTGTTTTAGGTTAGCGATTTGTCGTACTATCTAGCTGCATAGCAAATGAAAAAATACAATTACTTTACTATGCAAGTTAAACATTTGTGTTTTAATATTTGTGTTTTTATTTATTTAGGGACTCTTTATAGCATCCTACAGGCCCCGCACGAGCTTAATCCGTGTTGTCACTTTAAGATGTTTCTTGTTCATGTTTTTGTTTGTTGCGGTTGCACTCGAGTCAAGAGCCGCATGGCTCACAGGGTTCTACCTAATCAATGAAACTGAAACTGTTGGGGCCGTCAATGTCCCCCCCCCCCCCACCCAGTGTTCGTGTCGCGGCTGGAGGCGGCGTCCCTGCTTGCGCGGTCGCGCAGGGCTAATTCGCCCTTCAGCATGGAGGAGACGAAGCAGGGCTCGCTGGAGAGAGAGTGCCGCGAGGAGACGTGCAACTTCGAGGAGGCCAGGGAGATCTTCGAAGATGATCAACGCACGGTCAGCGCTCGTTGAGTTAGCGTTGTTTAAAAAAATAAATAATTAATTAGCCAATAATTTTGTCACGATGATGGTGGTGACAGTAGAATGTCAACTGGTAACGGCACCGCTGCACAGTATTTGCTCACTCGATTCGAGCGAGAGGACGACTCAAGAGGCACGAGGAACCACAGACGAACGGGAAGGCAGACACGCGGTGAGCCGCCAACGATTTGCCCAGGCTCTGTGGTCCCCTAGATGTTAAGGTGTTACGGGCCAATTGATGAAGCGTTTACACGGAGCATCCAGAGGAAACCCACTCAATCCCATTCAAGCGAATAAGGTGAAGTCCACATTTCTGCTGTGTCGCCGTCTCCTGGCTGACCAGTATTACGGCTCTTCGTCAACGCCCACGAAAAGGAAGTTTCGCGACATTAGTGTGGCGATCCAGCAAACCCCTCCTCGCTGCTGCTTCTTCCACAGTGCTGGATGTACAGGCCACGTGCAGCGTAGCCACCACCCGCTGGCTGCGGTCTTAGCCTCGGCAGCGACGAACCCTGTGGGCGTTGTAGTCTCGGCTTGGGTATTGCCCTTCGCCGTTCTTCTCTTCGTCGAGTCGACTTGTAGCAGTTTAATTGCCAGAAAGGGTAAAACCTATTCTTATTTTTTCATACTTTGATACAGGCAAAAAAAAGGTCCAAATTTGTAGCTGATCACCTCGAGCTATAAATGCTCTGATGGTGGCATTGTCTTTGTGCTTTCGATTTAAAGCTTTCGTGACTGCAGGGATTCATATTCCTGGTTCTTTCGGTAAAGTCACGTCGAAGGGAAATAATAAAATAATAAAATTAAAACATCAAATTAAATTATCACGACGTGTCGGCCACAACGCAAGCAGTCGTCGTCAGGTGAAGAAACAGAGCTGTCGGAAAGACAGCATCCTAATGAACACTGCTAAGCGTATTTTAAGCTGGGTGGGAGGAGGAGAGCGCCTTGACATTAGGATGCTGTCTTTCCGACAGCTCTGTTTCTTCACCTGAGGACGGCTGCTTGCGTTGTGGCCGAAACGTCGTGATAATTTTATCATGTTTTATTTTCATTATTTCCCTTCTACGTGACTTTACCGAAAGAACCAAGAATATGTCTTTGTGCTGTTCGCCTTTTGGCGTTGTTCTCTGGTCTGACACTGGTGAGACGAGGCCCTCAAGAAGGCTGCTGTCTCTGGTGTAGGCTAATCAGTTTCAAAGACAATGGCATATTTCATCAGAACATGCTTTGTTTGCATGTTCACCACAAGTACGTGCGGTCAATGCGAACTTTATTTTTGCAAAAGGTTTATATTTGGTGTTTGGACATCTTAACACACCTGTTTTATTGCCAGAAGGGGTAAAAGCTATTCTTATGTTTTCATAATAAAACTTTTCGTTGTTAAATGTTGGCGTGAAGCAGCTTTTAATTTAGGCAGCATATTTGTTTTATTTTATTCACAGGCTTAGTCTAGTTGATGTGATCCCATGGAATTCTCGTCACGTCCCAGGCTATTGAGTTCCTGTGGTGCTCTTGGTCGAGTTGACGACAGCGGTCAAACATCTGTTCTTCGCCGAGTTAGGAAATTATGGTGTGAGGAGCGTGGAATTTCACCCAACTCCCAATATTCGCACAGTATCACCAAATAATTTGTCCGATGGGTTAACCCGGTCAGAAACCCAAGTCTGTAGTGTCATTCCAGTCTATCGTGTCATTCACGGTGACATTGGCCTCGACATTGGCATTTGGCTCCTGAAAAAATAAATTGCCATACCGAAGAATAGAATAGTGCATTTTGAGTTCGTGCAATCTTTTTAAACGCTCCCATGTCAGATGAAATGTCTATTGCAATGCTGCTGGAATGTCAAGCCAAGTTGAACATTAACCGCGCACAATGCATTCATGGCTGTCCTTGCTCTTGTGTTCACAGAATGCATTTTGGACTCTCTACATAAGTAAGTCCGCGTACTTTTATTCACAAGTAAAAATTACGTTTATTATCCTGCCCACGTTCTTTCGTGCCCTGCATGTTCCGTGTTTGATGTTTCTCGTTGTAACTCCAAGCGTCCACCTCTCTCCGTGCTTATTTCAATGCACATTTGAGGTACAGGCAGTGCCGGATTAAGCTAGTGTGGGGCCTTTGTATATTGTGTTATGAAGGGGCCCTAAATTTAAAGAAACACGTAAATATTAAAACACAAATGTTTAACTTGCATAGTAAAGTAATTGTATTTCTTCATTCGCTACACATCCAGATAATACGACAAATCGCTAACCTTAAACACCCAGTCGTTCGTAAAAGTTGAAGGCGGTATAGTACTATAGTAATAGAGCAAGTGCAGAATCGCCGAACCGGAATTGATATCTTGAAAGCGTTTAGCGCGGGGCCCACAGCCAACATAAATGAACCTTATGGCGGGACCGTAGGGTCCTGAATTAACGGAAGTAAAAATCGTAATTAATACATTTATTTTTGGCGACTCCGTCCCACCGCGCACATAAACGCC